AAAAAAAAAAAAAAAAAAAAAAGAATGTATTATTCATCTCACTGCCTCTCAAAGGAAATCAAACTTTTAAGAGGCCTTGAAAACTGTAAAACAATGTTCCATTTTCCAACAAAGGGAGAAGTCCCTCCACTAGCCACCAGGAGATAAGGAGGACTCAGCAGGTACTCACCCTTTTTTCTGAGCTCTGGTTTGCCTTTCTTAACTGTGGCCATCACCATGTCACCCACACCAGCAGCGGGAAGTCTGTTCAGTCGTCCCTTGATCCCCTTCACAGAGATGATATACAGATTTTTCGCTCCTATACAAGGATATAAACAAAAATCAATCTGAGGGCCTATCAGGCAGCTTCACCAGTGTAACATTTCCCACTTTCACAGCTTCTCTCTCGACTCAGTGCTGAAGCATTTAGCCCCCAAGAACACCTTGTCACACCACCGATTGAAGCAAACAACACAAAATGCTGCCACTTCACCCAAAAGCGGTGCTTTTAATCTGCCCTTTCTTGACGGCTCAATGGGTCATCAGCGAAAGGCCCACTGAGTGCTTTTAAAAGGGGAAGTGTAGCAGGGTGCAGTCAAAGGCCTCACCTGTGTTGTCAGCACAGTTGATCACGGCTCCTACCGGAAGACCCAGGGAAATCCGGAATTTCGCACCGGAGGACCCACCACGTCCTGTGGGTAGAAAGGGAAAGGAAACAGGATAAAAGAGATCAGTGTCTAGATATGGTTCGGAGTTCCCCTCACTCTCAAGCTATAAATGCAACGCATATGCTTTGGAAGACTGTGCACAGCAGATTAGCCCTCTCTAGGATGCCTTTTACGCCACCCCCGTGTCCCCCCAGTTCCCACGGAAAACAGCCGGTTTCTCACCATTCCCACCCTGACGTCGAGATTAAAAGGCCCGACGACTCAACCCTCGCTCCAACTTTTGCAACACGAAGTACCTCCTGCAAGGCAGAAGACCGTATAGGTTGCCCAAACTAGGACCTGAGCCAGTCTAACTTCAAAACCATTACTGCAGCGCTATTCGCGGACCGATCTCGCCGCGCTCACTGTAGAATCATGCCAAGATCCTGCCAGCTCCACGCTCTAACTACCACCCCCCCCTTCTTCGAGGAGCCCTTCCAGTGCTCTCACGGTGCCCATCCTCCCTCTCTCCGGCTCAGAGGAGAGCAAAGCGCCCCAGCTACCCAGGGCTGCCGGTCCTGGCGAGGCCAGCAGAAACCGCGCGACAGATGGCGGAGGATTCCCCTAGAGCCAAAATCTCACCTCGCTTCGACATCTTGAAAGCCGGAAAGAGGACAGAAAGAAAGTAGGTACAAAGGACGCTGGGATATGAACTTAGACGCCCCGCCCACTCTCGTCACGTGGCCCAGAGCTTGTTAAACCCGCCTCCCCAGGGCGCTGTCTTATGACGTCAAGAGTCCACCACGTAAGCCTGAGCTCTCACTGCGCAGTGGGCGGCGGAGCGGGAGAAGCGAATGAGACCGGGACTCTGTGTACGTGTTCCAAAGTAGTTGGATCTTGTCTGAACTGGGAAGAAAAAAAAAAAAAGAGAGTAGTTGGGGACGTGGAAACATTGATTTATTAATTTGCTCAACTGCCTCTTTGGAGCACTTAGTACGTGCCAGGTACTTCTCTGAACACTTAAAGAATAACAAAGCAGTTTGTGCTATGTAAGGGGTCCCCGAGGAACAAAGGGAGTGAGGGTGGGAGGTGAGCGAGCTCTAACCTCACGTTCATAAGGACGTACAATCTACAACCGAGAAGTGCTATTGTAGCGCTACAGATCAATCCGTCTATGTGTGCATGGGACCATACCATTCTTTGTTGTGCAGTACATGTACAGTATTGCTTTATTAATTGCCCCTTTCACAGCTTCAACTGCCATTCATTCTCCTGGCTTCCTGTCGTGGATAAATGCATTCAGATATTTACTGAGTGCCTACTTCATGCCAGATTCTGTCCAGGGCATACTCAGGTTACATCAGGGAACAAAATGGATAAACATTCTTGCCCTTATGGAGCTTAACATTGTGCCTGGGTGGAGGTGGAGGAGGATATTAAACACTAGACAATAGAAATAATAAATAATTGCAGTATATAGTATGTTCCATGGGAATAGATAGAAAAAATTAAAAGAACAAGGTAAGAGAGGTGGGAGTCTCAGATTGCAATTAATAGAATGGTGAAGCTAGGAGCGGTAGCTCACACTTGTAATCCCAGCACTTTGGAAGGCCTAGGTGGGAAGGTGGCTTGAAGGCAGGAGTTGGAGGTTGCAGTGAGCTATGATGAGGCCACTGTATTCTAGCCTGAGCAACAGAGGGAGACCTCGTCTCAAAAGAAATTAAATAAAAAAATAGAAATAGAAAGGTGGTTTCTCTAACAAAATGGCAGCAGGTGGCTTCCACAGGGCTGCTGCTGGGGCCAGCACTTTGGTGAAGCCCATTTTCAGTACAAACGTAAACAAGGCCAAGTGGAGGGTGCACAAGCTCTACCGCCCCTGGTGTGGGGAGGTGCCAAACACTGTCACTTATTCCAGCTAGACATCAGTGTGAAACAGGGATGGGATAAAGTCTGAGCATGTTTATGAAGAATGACCATATCACAGACCCCAGGGTGGTTGATCTTCTGGTCATTAAGGGAAAGATGGAATTGGAAGAAACAATTAAAGTATGGAAGCAATGGTCACATATTATGCAGTTCTTCCACGAAACAGAAGCACCAAGGCCAAAGGATTTCCTGTCCAACTTCTATGTTGGCCATGATCCATGATGTGAAAAGGTGCATGCTTATATTTTATTATTTTAGAGTACAAATAAACTCATTATAGGATGGTAAAAAAAAAAAAAATAGAATGGTCAATGTAGCCCTAATTGAAGAAGTTGACATTAGAGCAAAAACTTTTTTTTTCCCCTCACTCTATCACCCAGGCAGGAGTGCACTGGAATGATGACAGCTCACTGCAGCCTGGAACTCCCGGGCTGAAGCGATCCTCCTGCCTCAGCCTCTCAAGTAGCTGGGACTACAGGTGCGAGCAAGCCAATAAGCCCAGCTAAAGCAAAGACTTCAAGGCTTGAAGGTGAGGGAATAGCAATATGGCTATCTGGTGAAGAGCAGTCCAAATAGAGTTAGCCAATGAAAAGTCCTAAAGCAGGGGTGTACCTGAATCGTGAGAACCAGCGAGGAAGCCAGGTATGACTGGACAGGGTAAGTGAAGGGAAGAGTAGTGGAGATGAGGTTAGAAGTAATGGAACCAAATCACTATGGATGTTGGCATTTACTGAGTGAAATGGAGAACCATTGTTTGATTTTTTTTTCTTTTTTGACACCCTCTCCCCATTGTTCGATTTTTTTTTTTTTTTTTTTTTTTTTTTTGAGACAGAGTCTCACTCTCTTGACGGCTAGAGTGCTGTGGTGTCAGCCTAGCTCACAGCAACCTCAAACTCCTGGGCTCAAGGGATCCTCCTGCCTCAGTCTCCCACGTAGCTTGGGACTACAGGCATGCGCCACCATGCCCGGCTAATTTTTTCTATTTTTAGTTGTTTGGCCAATTTCTTTCTATTTTTAGTAGAGACGGGGTCTCGCTCTTGCTTAGGCTGGTCTTGAACTCCTGAGCTCAAATGATCCTCCTGCCTCCGCCTCCCAGAGTGCTAGGATTACAGGCGCGAGCCACCGCGCCCGGCCTCAATTGTTCAATTTTTAAGCATAGGAGGGACATGATCTGACTAATATGTCAGAAGGGTCGCTGTGGTTGAATTGTTGAGACTAGACTGTGGGAAGGTACACAAGGATACACGTAAGGAGACGTGTTAGGAAGCTACTGTACTAACCCGGGAGAGAAATGACAGTGATTTGGACTAGAGTGGTAGCAGTAGAGGTAATGTGATGTGGTCAGATTCTGGATGTGTTTTGGAGGTAGTGCCAACAAAATGTGGGGTATGAAAGAAAGAGGAATGAAAATGTCTCTAAGACTAAAGGCGTCAGCAATGGGAAGATGGCATTGCCATCAACCAAGATGGAGAAGGCTATGGGAGGAATAGTTTTCTTGGTTGGTACAACCATCAGTGTCTCAACCAGAAAAGAGAGACACAATTAATTCTTCTCCCAGTCTCCCAGATTTAGTCACTGAGGTCTATCGACTTGACTCTATCTCCTAAACTTTTCTGTTCATGCCTCCCAAGTTCTCCCCTTCGCTCAAATCTATTGCAACAGCCTCTAAGTGGTCTCACTATAATCTTCCTGTACGGGTCCACTAGTACTTATAGAATATAGTCCGGGCTCCTTACCACAACGCTAAAGTCGCTTCCTGAAATGGCCTACTTCCTCCCTGGCCTCATCTGCCACCTTGCCTGTTATACTTCATACTCCAGCAGCACCATTAGAGTTCTGGACATATCCTTCAGTTTCATACCTCATTGTATCTGTGCACTCTCTCTTGCTTTATGTACTACATGTTCTTTAAAATCTGCTCAGATGTCATCTCTTCCCTGAGCCGTCTCACAACCCGAGCATTCTCTCCTAGATCCACCCCTTTACTTGAAGCAGTGTTTCTCAAATATTTTCATCTTAGACTCCCTTACACTCTTAAATTATTGAGGACCTCAAAAGAGTTTTTGTTTAGGCCAGGTGCGGTGGCTCACGCCTGTAATCCTAGCTCTCTGGGAGGCCGAGGCGGGCGGATTGTTTGAGCTCAGGAGTTCGAGAGCAGCCTGAGCAAGAGCGAGACCCCGTCTCTACTAAAATTAGAAAGAAATTAATTGGACAACTAAAAATATATAGAAAAAAAAAATTAGCCGGGCATGGTGGCGCATGCCTGTAGTCCCAGCTACTCGGGAGGCTGAGGCAGGAGGATTGCTTGAGCCCAGGAGTCTGAGGTTGCTGTGAGCTAGGCTGACGCCACGGCACTCACTCTAGCCCGGGCAACACAGTGAGACTCTGTCTCAAAAAAAAAAAAAAAAAAAGAGTTTTTGTTTGTATAGGTTATATCTGATGACATTTACCAGACTAGAAATTAAAATTGAGGAATGTTAAAATATTTATTAAGATAATAAGCCCATTATCTGCTAAAATAAATAACATTTTAAAATGAAAAGTACATTTTTTCTGAACAAAAATATTTAGTATAAGAGTAGCTATGCTTTGCCTTTTTTTTTTTTGGAATCCCTTTAATAGCTGGCCTGATGAAAGACAAGTGGTTTTTCATGTGTTTCTGTATCTAATCTGTTGTGATATCACACGTCATCTAAACTCCACTGTAAACTCATGAAAGAGCAAGAGTGAGATAGGAAAATAGTGTCTTAGTATTAACATTACTGTGAAAATGGTTCTTTCCTCTGCACAGAAAGGGTCTCAGGAGCACAAGTTTCCCCACATACCCAAGGACAGCCAAGGCTTCAGAGGATGCCCCCAACAATGCAGGTGTCACATCGGGCAGTGGCTTCCATGTTTGCATGTTGTATTGGCAGTACTAGAAGTATGATATAAGCAAAGGTAAGGGAGAATATACATTTCATTAATATTTGGATTACAGCAATGCACATCACAGAAGAGTGTTCAGTTAGCTTTGTCTTTCTTGCCATCTTAAAAGTGTTGCTTTTAGGGGGCACCCGGATTTGAACCGGGGACCTCTTGATCTGCAGTCAAATGCTCTACCCCTGAGCTATACCCCCTCTGCTGGGAAAAGGAGATTGCAACTTAAATATACTGTTTACTGACCAGGCATTGCCTCCAGTGATTGACAATAGTTTGGTATCTAGCATAAACTGTTTCAGGTTTCCTGAGGTGACACGGAGAAACTAAGAGAAGATTACAGAGCCAATCTGGACCCAAGTGGTGGAAGAGAAGGGAGAAGTCTAAATCCTCTTTGATCCAGGCTTGAAAGTCCTGGGGGCTGGTGCAATAGGATCCTTCCCTTGCTTCATTACAGCCTTTCTATCTCTGGCATCTGGAAATTCTTCAATTCTAATTTCCATCCTCCCTGCCTTCAACCTGAGCTGCACTGAATCCCCAGCCCAGTGCTTCGCATGCAGGAGGAAGTGCTTCCCTTGTCCATCCCAAGACCCTCTCTGTTTCTGGGCCAGACATGGCTCCATTGTCTCCATTCTCTCCCGCATCTTCAGTCACTTCCTCTTCCCTGGCTCCTTCAAACATCAACAGGTTTCCCCTCGCAGGAAATCCTTCTTTTAGCTGCGATCACCTGCCCATTTCTTCTTTCTCACTACCAATTTTTAAGAAAGTCTGTGACTTCATTTTTCTTATTATCAATTAAAAAAAAATTACCTGTCTCCGAAGTCCTGCTACTCTCTGCATTTGCTTTCTCAACTGTGGACTACTAGTTATTTTTTCTCCTTGGTGTATATATTTCTCCAACA